CTGGCACCGGCTAACCGTGAAATTCGTCCTTACATCGCGATAAAGCCCTTGCCACACTGAAACTCGTTCGCGCGAATGTACCACTTTACCCATCAAACGGCGGCACTACAGTGGGACGAACTTAAGACCATACGAGTGGTTGCGAGCAAACGGTAGCAGCAGCGATCGAGTCCGATGTCGACACAGAGGTGGCGTGGCTGGATACGCCATGGACGAAGTGGTCTCGCGGCAGCCTCGCCGGCGGCTCGTGCCGAAGTCGAGGACAGGCCGTCGTCGAGCCGACACACAATGATTTAAGCCCCAGATCCAGTTTTTGGAGTGTCAATATAGACGGTACAACCAAGGTGGGTGAATTTGAACAGCGGCCGTCGGAATGGGGTCCTTGTCGCCAGTATAATCCAGATTCGATGAACCACAACGTTAACTCCTGCGTGACGAGGAAGGGGATGGGGCATACAGATACAGCTTGCCCCCGCGTCCACTACACCAACCTAACCGCCTCGACTTCTACCGACAGCCGTTGGCTGGTCACAATGCAGGCGCGAAGCAGCGAGCGGTCAAACTGTGACTTGGCAGGACAAATATCGTTTCCTAGAAGGCGGACCGGTACGCGTTCGCGCTGGAAAGAAGGTCGCATCCTGTCATCCGCCACCTGGATCTCTCCCGTATTTGTGGGAGTTCAAACTTTTTTGCCGTACATACCATCTTGATCGTTCGACGTGGGCCACGGCAGCAGTTGGGTTGTGGCAAGTGGGTGACAAAAATACAATTGGGACTCAAAGGCTCGTCGAAACAGACGAGTCGCCTATACCGAATGGAATGTGACGAGTGGCACATGGAGTGCAATGCAGTACATGTGTCCAAGCGACTCTCGTGGCGCAAGGGGCGAGTGCATCGCGCGCAGCCTGCCATCTTGCACAATCGAATCGAGCAACATACACCCGACTTTTTCGTTGGGATGACGTCGCTTTCCTTTGCATGTACCCAAGCTGTGTGAACGACATTTGCTCCATCGTGCAGTTGGAAGCACCCGCCCAACCCATCTGAGCTGTGCAATGGGACCTTTGATGGGTCGGTTCATGGGCGCATGGGAGGAATGACGTGGGTGCCGTTTTCCAATTCGCTCCAGGTGTAGCGCTGAAAGAGTTTCATGGTGCACTGATTGGTTGATTCGAGGGTCATTCTAAAACCTGATTGGTGGAAACTGTAATTGTACGACCTGATGTCGCCATAGCCTAGGACTACTCGGCCCCCCACACATCCACAACGATTCAAGCATCGCGGAACCGTCGAATTGCCGCCGAGGAGCTCCACGACATCGCGTTTGCGATTCCAGCGCTTCGAGCCCAATCGATTCGCAAGAGCGCGAGGTCGCTCACGTGCCCCTGCTGGCTCGACTTCGACCGGTGAATGTTGCACTCAGCCCAGTCCTGTCGTCGGCGACCACATCGGTCGTCCTGTGGGGAAGCCATGCAAAACCAAACCGAGTTCTACAATGGCCTTCCTGGTCAGTTCACGTTGCTTCGCCCTCCAAATCCACTCCTCTCAGTTCGTCCTGGACCACCTGTACCTGGCCAGTCGCGAGTAAATTGGTTCTTTGTACATGAATCATACATAGTTCGTGCGGCCCTGCGACTTTGCCTTGGCCATTAGTACAAAAGGTCGAGATGCCAAAATCGCGGGGAAGCGCCGAGCAAGCTGCACTATTCGTATCGAAATTGGACGTGTGGGGGCTCAAAAAGCATCCACCGCCTTCGCCCATCTACCGTCACGAAGACGTTGTCGACGAGCCGCCGCGTGGACGGAGGGAAGTCAGGGCACTTTACGAGTTGATCGAGTCAGCATTTTCTTATGACTCGTGCTGATACCCATCGCTGCAATATGCGATGGACAAAACTTGGGCCGAGTCGGCGCAACAACGTTACAAAGGGCATCGAACAACCGATGGTTCCCTGGCCATGCTATCGCATGCGCGACCAGGGGGTTGGTCGACGGTGGCTGGTTCATGACCAACGCCGGACGAACCGAACGAAACTTTACCTCGCCCCAACCACGAGGGAACTCGTTTGCGGTTGAGTTGCCTGAATAAACGTATCGGGCGATCTCAACTGTTAGAACACTATCGTGCTCGCAATGGGAGGTTGCAAGAATCTTGTTTTTGTCAGGTTTTCGTAGAATCGTTAAAATGATCCACCTTTGCATGATGGGTTTGTTTAGTGTGTGCATCTAGATTTCCAACTCGGATACGTCTCCACCTTGTGGTGGTTCGATGGCACGTCTTGACTTTGCCTGCGCTTCTGCTGCGAGGTCATGCTTCGTTCACGTTCGCAGGACGATTGTGCCTAAGTAGTGGTGGTAACATGAGTCTTGGGGCGTCGGTTAGAGAGTGTCCATGTCTTATGACCAAGAACATTGTTCACACCACGCTCTCCGACGCAGCGCCTGCCGTTTTTAACAAGCATCTGCCGCCAGCCCCCTAGCTGCAATTGAGTGTGACCGCCTTACGAGAGAGTAGGTGACCACCTGTTCTCCCTCACCGCAGCCTCTACGTCAAACTGTGTCTGGCACATGAATTTCCTTCAGCTGTGGCAGCTTCCGCCAACCCACGCTTCACAGCTGTGCTAGCTCGAGACAACCCCCCCCTTTCTTCCCTTGCAGCATCCACCGTCGCGGACGAGATAGAGGCTAGACTACTCGAGCAGCGCGTTTCCGGCGTGCCGAAACGCTGGCAGGCGTTGGACAAACAGTCCATATTGTATGGTTCCTATCCTTTTGAGCCATCCTTGTACAAACCCTCGTCGGACGTGCAATTGTAAACTGGACTTCGGCAGAGCTGATTCTGGTTGTTTCGCCAGGAAGGCGACCTCGCATTGTTTCGTATCCATGGGCCTGGCTTGTACTGGACCTCTTGCCCCGAGACAGAGGTGCCCCCAAGTGCAATTTTCAATTTCAATCATAAAACATGCAAATGGATTTGAGTAGAGGAGCTACGGAAGTGCTCGAAAAGTTGCGGTACCAACCGCTCGCTTGCCAAGTCGGCGACCCTTCCCAGCGGTAGCAGCTTGATCACCATTCCCACCAGCTGTAACTCGACCGCTCTTGGTTTATAGTACTGGAATTCACCCGTTCTTCTAGGACTTTACTCCGATCTCGAACAGTCGGTTGATCGCAGCCTCCCCTAGCTATTCCCTAGCTGCACCAGTCAGCGCATTCTTCGAAGCTGCACCAACCTTCGCCAACCCCCCCTTCAGGACAGCGTCAGCACGAGCGAACATCCCTCGATTCATCTACTCAGTATCCGTCGTGTACACGAGCGAACCACTAGGGCAAAAATTCCGACGTACGGACGGTGAAATTCTGGCAGACGTTGATAGCCGCGTTGTATGGCACAATTTCCTCATTTGGCTAAAACGTCATTGCGCGTTCCTTGGCCCTCTTGAACGCGCTCTCTGCACAGCAAATTCAGCCTTATATCTTCAGGGAAGGGTTTGCGCACTCGTCCATCAGATTGGACAGGACTCTGTGAATGGTGTGTTCCCCGCGAATCCCCCAGAGATACGTCATCCTTCTACAAGATCGGGCTAACCGAAACTGGCATCGCATCCACCCATTGATCTCCAATATCCAAACCCCAATGTAGAGGTCCCAGACAGTATCGAAACAGGCTTGAGCCACCGCGTCAACAAGGGCCAACAGCAATCCGACGAGGGAAATCTTGGTCGCCACCTTGTAATACCTGAAAATGCCAGAGTCGAAATGTTTGCCATCGATGGCTAAGTGGAAAATGAATTTAATTCCCCCCCGATCCCAATCTGTATGACAAGTTACCTAAACAACAAGGTGGTTGGGATACCTCCTTCAACCTGCGCTGCGGGACACCACGGATGGGCTCACAAGAATACAGAATAGTCGCACGCCCAGCCTGGGAGCAGCACGCTGGCGCGGCCAACCTGCTACTGCTCCCGACGAGAAAAGAAATAATCATGCGATGACATGAGGCTTGAATCCGCACTCTCGTTCGGGTGACCTGGCGCAGACGGCCTCCTGAGTCAAACTCGGCGACACAACAAGGCTGTACTTGGCAAGGTGTGTGTCTGTCCGTACTATAGCATTTCAAGTTAAGCTGATCAATCCATCGTATTTTATATTTTAACTTGACGCTTCGGTAAATTTCTTTAGTCCCGATACATTTTAGGCGCAAAAAAACTAGACCAATGAGCTATTACGCTTTCTTTAAAGGATGGCTGCTTCCAAGCCTACCTATTGGTTGTTCGTACGGACAGGCACACAAGTTGCTCTTGTCCGTGCGATGACATGGCACGTGAAGTTCTCAAGTTAAACCAATAATCGTAAGAACAGACAAGCAAATTTGCCCAAGTTCGTACAGCCAGGCAGTGTCGCCTCAGTCAAGGTACATGCAGCCTCCCAAGTACTTGTAGCAGGATCAGCGCTCCTCCCGTGTCAAATCAATTTATACATATCTATCGACAATGACAAGGCGGGTGGGTGATCGCTGCGTCCTGGTCGGGATGTCGGCTCAAGACACACGGAGCCTAAAATGGCCGTCTGAACAAGCGGGACCGGACAAAAGTGCAGATCCAAGGTTTCATGCCATCGAACGATCTTCTCTCGTCGGGAAAAGCGGCAAGTTGGCCGTACGGTCGTGATGCACCCAAGCGGGGTGTGCGACTACTCTGTACTCATGTTCGCCCATTTGTCGGGCTGCCCAACAGAAGCTACAGTATGTAGCGCTGTTTTGCGAGGGACACCACACCCTTGTTGTGGGGTCCCAGGATTAAACTCATGCAAAATAGATTGCTGATTCACGCAGTAGAAGGAACCCCAGGCAATAGCCGACGAGTTTTCGAGCAAAACACCCGATCACATCTAAAGAGGGCATTCTAACACGAAAATGGTTCTTTTCACACTGGAATGGATTTTCTCACAACAAAATAGACATAGGTCAGGTTCCATGTTGAAGTCGCAGATACCATGTCGCCATGTCGTTGTGTAGACTTGTGAACAGTAGAAATCTACTTTGACGTGGTCGAAGAAATCGACGCAGCAATCGAGGACAGCCATGGCCAAATGCTGCATTGCGAAGTCAGTGGCAAGATCAACGGCCACAGCGGTCTCTCCAGCGTCCTAGACCTCACCATCATGTATGTGGATAAGGACTAAGGTCTCGACTAAATCTCAACATGCTAGACTGACACTGCACGTCAGATGCGGCCGAAGGGGACGCACGTACTCTGCACGTGCTTCTTCGTGTTGTTGACGGGCGTGGGCATGTTGCGGGTGCCGATGGTAATCTCTAACTCCCGCTATTTGTCCGTGTACTTGAAGTGGGCTGTCAAAAGATTGGCTGCATGATTTGATTCACTTGAACGCGGTTTTCATGAGCGAAAGCACCTTCAAGTGTCCATCGGGCGGCACAAACGAAATGACGCATTCACGCTAGTACCGAGTATACCGCACACAAGGATGGAAGTGGCAACAAAAGACTTCAAGGTGCAGTTTGCGTTCCCCAAGAGCGTGCGGACGGCTGATGCCAATACGAACAGCGGGTCGTACATGTTTGACGACTCAACCACGACACTCAAGTGGACCGTGGGAAAATTTAACCCGAAGCAGGTGATGTCGCCGTCGCTGAAAGGGTCATATCGTCTTACAGCACGGTGCGGCGACGCTGGACGAAAAACCGATCGTCGTCTTCGGGTCCAAAGTCCCGTTCACGACCGTATGTAGCCTCGCTGTTGATACCCTCGTCCTGAACAACGAAAACTACAAACCGTACTTGGGCGTTCGCACCCTCGCCCAAGCGGGGCGGTTCCACGAATCCTAGCGTCGAACCCATCCATGCCTTGCACACCTCGTTGACAGGTTGGTAGATTCTGTCAATACAGCTTTCAAACTCGATCAAGAGACCTTCGCTTCTACTTTCGACACTGGCTGTCGTGCCTCGACGTACCGACGCGTGGCTGGCATCTGGTAACGAGTGGAGTTTGATGGAAGCAAGCGACTCTAATTGCGTCGAAAGTATGACAGTGTCGTGATTACCTAGTTAAAGTTCAATTCAGAGCACTGGCCCAGACAAAGAGTGCGAACACGATAAAAGGGGCAGCTCTCACGAGTTTTGCACGAAGTAGAGCAAGACGCGAGGTGCAGTCCATGACGTGGTCAGCTCTTTCGACGCCGACGGTGCTGCAAGTCCGATTTAGATCCGACGATGGTGGCTACGCGGGTGGACTTGAACAGGATGAGTCGGACTCTTCCAGCAAAAACCGGCAACCCAACGACTCGTACAGCGAGCTGCGCCAGCCTTGGGTCCAGAATGTGGGCATTGCCAGGGACGGCGGAAACACCGACGCCGTCATTCGACAGGCCCTAGACACAAGTTGATCTATCGGTGCTACGGAAACGCTGCTGACTGTGTAGTTGTACAAGAACGCATTGACACACCATCTCGTCAAAGTCGGTGTCCAGCATCACGGCTTTTGTGGCTGACATAATTGAGCTAACAACGAGTAAGGATGCATCGAAGGATGGAGTGCACCTTCGAAGAGAAGCTCTTCGTGGAACCACTTCAAGCGGCGCTGCAATATGAAACCGTGCGCTTTAGCTAAAGCGACTTCTTGATTTACTGTTCATGGCGTTGTTTGGATTTGGGAGTTGTAGCTGTCTGTACACACGAAATCGTTCGAGACAACAAGAACTCGACGAAGAGACAACAACAAACGCATTAGATGATCACTGCTTGTTCGCTGCTACGCTTTTGTTTGTGGTACCGTTATTCTAATAGGGAGAAATGCGGCGAATAGTCCGAAGAAAGTCAACTGCAGGATACGCCAAGGGGTATCGGACCTGCGCCGGCGAACACGGTTCTTAGGTACGATCCAGAAGCAGTGCGTGATATTTTGCGTAACCGAGGTCAACAAGTACACACCTTAGACGACTCGTCGAACCGTCGCACACAAATCAATCGTTGGGTTGCCGCAGTTATCAAACGACAAAGAACAGATCATGTTGGTTGCAAGCATGCGTAAGATCAAAATGGACCAGTTTTTTGTGCTCGACTCGATTGACCAAGCGACGCCGAGCCAATTCAACAAGCGTCTCCGCTCCGTACAATGCAGTCCTTACACTTGCGTTGGTTCTTGTAGGACGTTGTGAATTTGCAAACCATGAGCGAGGTTCTAACGATGTTCGTTCAGCTCGAAAACGTTGACTGATGTCAAATGCATAAAAATCACATCCTAAATCAAAAACTGTCACCCCGCAGGGTTTCGATCCAAGTACTTCCACCACCTCATATCAAATGATGACACGCAGAATAAGAATTCAAAATTTGTCTAAAGTATTAACTACAGATGGTTAAGACCACTATATTCGGGTGAGCGTGAGTGTTTTGTACAGTGATACCTCACATTTTGCACCATCTCCAAAATATAAATTCTAACAGACGGATGGAAACCCAAAGAAAACGCAAACATAAATTTATAAAGTGATCTTAGTTGAGCAATCGTGCAATTGAATGGCCAGAGCTGGCCACCTCTTTGTCGTGCTCGGGGTGTCGTGCGCGGTACAAGTTGTGGCGGGTCTTGGCAGCACCATTCTTCATCCCGTAGGACTCGAGAGTTCGGTCGTCTTTTAGGATACGACGAATTGTCGTTATGTTAAGTTGGAAGCCAAACTTTTGGGTTGCCCATTGTTGGACCTCACGTGGCTTTATGGCTGCGCTCGCCTTGAAGTAGGCTCGAATACTGTTCTTGTCATGAATGGTCAATCGCTTGTTTCTTGGCTTAATGCTCTGCTCCATTTTGTAAATGTCCTTGTCTACTTGGCATCGACACTGCCTCACATTTGAAAATTCAAAACACGAAGCAGCGCTTTCAAATGACCTCTGAAGACTTTACACATCAAGTACTTGA